GAGAGAGAGAGAGAGAGAGAGAGAGAGAGAGAGAGAGAGAGAGAGAGAGAGAGAGACAGAGAGAAGTAGGAGAGCGAGAGAGAGAGAAGCTGGTGATGGTGTGGCAGAAGAGGGCGTCTACTGTCGGAGAGCGCTTGTGCGCAGGGCGAGCGGCTGCTACAAGAGGCGCGAAGTTTGAAAATGGCCTCCTCCCACCGGCGGGCAGCGTATGCGTCGAGCCTCCGCCGTCGGGAAGCGAATGCCTCCGACCTCCGCCATCCGGCAGCGAATGGCTCCAACCTCCACTGTCGTACTGCCCGCTGAACTTCACCGAAGATTGCAAGTACAGGCCCTTCAGGGCCAATCCGGTTGGCCCAACTGTCCACCAAAAACTGCGGTAATAATTTTCGGGGGTCCACCAGGCACTGGAAAATTGCCTGAGGACCCCTTTTTTTTCCCCCTCAAAATGGGGCCCAACCGGACCCCTTTAACCGGACTCCGGACCCGGACATCCAGGCCAGGACTGTCTGGATCCGGATCCGGACGTCCGGTTAACAACCACGGAAATTACACTTCCGGCATTCTCCCGAACATAACACACACCCACATAACCCTACCTGACCGGAAAGCTAGCTTGTATACATTGCCCGGAGTGCAATTTGAAACTTTTTTTTGTCCAAAATCACAAAGTGTATTTTCAAACTCTAAGCAACCGGACTGTTGGCCCCAAGACTAGAAGGGGCTTTGTTTATTTGGGGAACACACACACAGAAAAAAAAAGAAAAAAAAGAGAGAGACAGAGAGAGAAGAGGAGGCACACCTTCCCAGTGTTTGCAAGATAAAGATCCGTATCGATTGGCTTGTTGAAGAGAACATGGCCAAAATCCAGTAGGTGTTTGTCCCACGTATATTCAATAGCTCCAGACTCAGCTTGGACAGGGATTTCATATGCAGGCCCACCTTCAACTTCACACACAGCAAGAGTGCGAGCACGACAACCTTCCAGGGCATGGTATGTGAATTCCATCACCTCTGACTCTCCAGGCTTGAGACATCCTCTAATTGGGATCAAATCAAAGACATGGTTCACCGGGATCTCCTCCTCTATCGACTGTACATTATGAACCGTGTTTCGTGCATTAGCCGTCACCAGGGAACGGTCATCCTCAGATTTGCCATCTCCTGGAAACCCTGGCACTGTCAGAGTGCCCTCCGACCTCCCAACTTCCACTCCTCCTCCTCCTCCTCCTCCTCCTCCTATTGCTGCTGCAGCTGCTGATGATGATGACACTGTGGGGCTGTTGACAATTGCTGCGGTTGTGGTGGGGATCAGTGACCTGTCTATGGGGGAAGTCACAGTCACACTGCAGGTGGGGTCATCCGAGTTCTCAACAAACAGCCAGCTGTAGTGTACATCCAACTTGCTGGTGTTCGTTGCTCTGACGTAAATCCGCTTTGAGCTGTGTTCCAGAACTGGCCCAAAGATCACAGCTGGCGGTTCGAGCTTGAGGTTTGGGAAGTTAATCTCAGCAACCAGATCTGCATTGTATCTGTGAGGGTTGTTGCTGAGCGTGATTACCACCTGGCCTTGAATGGTGCTTGTGACACGCTCTTTCTGTGGCCCAGGGTCAAAGTCCACCTTAGACACACATCCTTCTCCTGGTTGCAAGCTCCAGGACGGGTCAGTTACCGAGAAGGGTGGCTTGGTCTGCATGTGAAGTGTCAATGGAAGTGCAGAAATGTTCTGCACCTCCAGATTTTGGGACATTGGCAACGGCTGTGGTGCTGTTTCTCGGTGGTAGAAGTACAGATAGGATAGTGTGGAGGACGAAAGCTTCAGCATGGGGATGGCCATATCCGCATCTACCACCACGTTGTACAGCAGGTACGTTGTGTTCGCCAGTGTGGCTCGACAACTGAACTTCTCAAAGTGGAGCCCAGGGATCTCAGAGAAACCAGTGATCGTGAAGACGTGAGAGGAGCGCGGATTGATCAGCGCCTTCGTAGGAGAAATATTGAAAGTTGTGATCACCTCGCCATTGCTTGTTGTTACAGCTGCTCTTTTCTCTGCATTATCATCTGTCGAACCCTTGCCATATTTTTGTTCTCTTTTGTCGCCCAAAGAAAGAGACTTTGGACCTTGTGGCAGTTTGGTACCAGGGGCCGTGTGAGTGCCACTGCCAGCTTTTAGCTTTGGCACCTTGTTGCCAACTTTCGGGGCGACCTTGGTGGACGTTCTTACGTTGATACCAGTCCCAACAGCTGCTGCACCTTCTTTGCTACATGCAGTTAAAGGTAGGTCCCGGGCCCCAGGTTGGTCAACGGACGCCGGTAGGGATGAGGCGCCTTGGCCTGCCTGCGGACCTGGTACGTTAAGTGCATTCTCTCCAGCAGCTCTTGCTGTGTGCACACTTGCTGGCCGAGAATGCGTACCTGCTGCCAAGGGCCCAACGGCGCCGCTTATTGTTCCTCTGGGATTGATGGCAGTCCACTGAAGTGTCTGAGGCCGCGAACCAAGGTTCCATACAAGTATCTCACGATGAAATGGGAATGAAGTGAACTGATTTCCAAAGTGTACCCCTCCTGTCTCAAACTCATCGCAGACAATGGTGGTCCCCACGCCACGTGCTATCAACGGGACAACATGCTCAGCCCCCTCTGTTATGATTATGTTCAGAGAATCCTTGAAGGTAAACAGCTCATCCAGGAAGACGGATATCTGTCGACATGTGCATTCTCTATGAGTCAGTTAGGGTTAGAACACTTCAAAAGAAATCATTACTCTTCAACGGGTTAGGTGTTTGAATCTGGGGGGGTCAAACTGATTGGCTAAGTGGAAACAGTAACAGATTATTCACCCAGTCAACAGTGAGCAGGCAATTGAGCATGATTGGCCTATGGAGCTGAGAAGCGATTGGCCGATTCACCAAGTCCAGAACAGAGTTTAAAACACACACACACACACACACACACACACACACACACACACACACACACCGAAAAGAAAAAGAGAGTGCGCCGTGCAGTGTTTTTTCGAAGGGGAATGGGAACCGAAGATAGTGGGAGCAACTGAATAAGACCGGAAGTAATGGAAGAGAACACACAAATGCCGGATAGTATTGGCACAGCGTTTACCAGCATAGCGCTAATGCCAAATGCCTCACAGAATCCCTCCTTTTCATTATCAGAGGGTCACTGCTGTGATAGGATTAGAAATACACAGCTCACGTATGACCAGACAAATTGTGGGGAGAATACCGCTCCAGGGTTTGCCCCTCCTGAGCTAGCTCAGCTCGGATGTGCCTTTCTTTGTACTTCGTCCTCAGCAATAGCTCGGGGTCTCTGGGCAAAAAGCTGTACATCTCATCAGAGCAAGCAAAGCAGTGTGGAGTGCTATGGTACCACTTCATGTAGCATCCTGTCTATGAGCGGATTTGTGTGCAGCAGTGAGCCACAAACTCCCTGGACATCATTCATACTACAAATGTGGGAAAATTTTGTGGGGGCAATCAGTCAAAGGCAGCTGCCTAGACAAACAAAAACGGAGAAGGTGAAGAGAATGGGCAATACATTAAACCTCTATTGTCTTGAAGGATCAATCATTTCTTAATGCAGCTAGGATGACATTGTCAAGCATATAAGCAGGCAAACATGCAATGTCTTCAAGCATATAAGCAGGCAAACATGCAAAACAGACGGACAAAGGAACATGCAAGCAGGCAAGCAAAGGGAGAGAATAATGCAGAGCATGGGCAATAACTTACTTGGAGCTCCATTGTCTGGAAGGGCTCAATGACCCCTTGACGCGGCAGGACTTCATAAACTGACTGCTTTGAGGAGAGAAATAGTCGGAACTCTGCCGGAATGCATGCCATGTTTCGCAAGACCAATGATCGTCTGTGTAGCACGAGCACAGTTATCTTGCCAAAATCGACTTGAGGCTTCCACTCTAGAGGCGCCGCCTTTGAAAGGGCTGACACCATCCTGCTGGCTCGTGGTTTTCCTGGGCTCGCTCCAGAACTTCCCAGCGACCCACCACCACCTGCCGTTGCAACGCCAGCAGCCATAGGAGGGACAGATTCATCTGATGGAGGGGATAGTTGCTGATTGCGTGGACTGCCACCAGTGGTGGGTTCAGAAGGAGAAGAGGTTAGTTTGGCCTTTGCCATGGGTCGCTCACGTGGCGCCGGCGGTGGTGCGTCGCTTTGAGGCCGTCCAGGGCTCAATGCAGCTCCCGTACGGGCGTCAACGGCCGTCAACTGTGGAGGTCGTTCAATTCGAATTATGGGGCCAATGGAAACCACTTCAAGGATCACTTCAAGAGGGTCACCTTCGCTTCCAGTGATGCGTACATAGAGGGGAATGTGAAGCACTCCCAACCTTTCAGTGGAGAGGGTGAGAGAAACTGTGAAATGGGACTTCGGTTCCACGATCCCAGACAGTGGGTCCGGAATGTACACTGCCAATGTCTGGCTAGGCTCTGGCTGAGGCTGCACCCTGTACTTTGCTGGCAAGCTCGATTCATTAACCAGCTCCAATGGCATTGTATAACCATACCTCAAGAAGCATGTCCCAAATGTGACCCAGTTTGAGGCAAGGGAAATCTGATATGCAGAGTTCACAATAGACGAAGCGACACCGGCATCAGAAGTGTCAAGAGGTCTCTGTTGCGATTAAACTTGTGTCTTGTATCTGTTCCTTCTACATGCTTGCTGGTGATAAGCACCCGGACTGAAGCCCCCCAGATGGGCCGCCCGTGTGTGTGTGTGTGCGTTTATTTAAAAAAAAAAAAAAGTGTCACGAGGGGAGGGATAATGGAAGCAAAAAGAAACAGGTGTTATGATCCTGACCAATTTTGAAGTACACATTCATGAGAAAGTACAAAGCCGTCCAATAATCCAATTGCAAAAAGAAATGAATGAACTTGAGAGGAGAGAGAGGGAAAGAAGAAGAAGAAGAAGATGTACACCAGCAAAGACCAATGAGAATTCCCTTCTTCTTCACCAACACTCTCCTCCTCCTTATCTCCTCCCCTCTTATTCAAACAAGAAATAATAGTAATAATATTGAATGGCCGAACCAGAATCAATGTCTGAATCCCTCTTCTACTGCAGGTATCACATGAGGTCCACCATAGCCATGGCCATCTTTCTTCCTCCTTCTTCCACGGCCGAGGCTATGGCGGACTACCAGGGCATCGCCCTGCTGTGCAAAGGACAACACAAAGCAGCTATGGCTGCTCTAGCTCAGGCCGCCTGCAGGCCGCCTGCCTGACTCTGCCTCAAAGCTTCTTGGTGTAGCTCTACCCCGGCTGGGGGCTTCCAGATACAGCGCCACCAAGGTGATGAAGATGGCATCCACCATAGCCAGGTAAGTATCTCTGGCGCTCTCCCTCTTCCTCGTCCTTGTCCTCCTCTCTCGGTTCTTGCTCCTTCCCCAGCAGCGCTGCGCTGAGTGCTAGCGCTGCTGCAGCTGGCGCTCCAACCAGTGTGTCGCCAAACTTGCACACCGACAATTAGGAGGAGCAAAGTGCTCCTCCTGGAGATATAACGGCCTGCTTGCCTCTTGGCGAGTGACTTCCTAGGCCGCACTGCCTCCAAGCAACCGGTACCTCCTCCCTTTCGGATTGCAGACTCTAATATTGCCCGTACAGGCCTGGACTCAGACTGGTTGGAAGCCTAGACCTAGCCTACAACTAATGGGCCTGTTACGATCCTGGTCATTCCAAAGTGCAAATTCACAATGAAAGACAATGCCACCCAATTGCGAAAGAAATGAAAGCACTTGCAAAGACATAGAGACCAGAGAAGAGAGAAAGAAGAAGAAGAAGAAGGAGAAGAAGAAGAAGGAGAAAAAGAGAAGAAGATGTACGCCAGCAAGACCAATGACAAATCCCCCTTCTCTCTCCACCTTCCTCCTCCTCCCTAACTTCTCCAATCTTATTCTTCTTCCCAATAATAATAATAACAATGAGTGGGTGAACCAGAATCGATATCCGAAGTTCCCTCTTACTGCTGACACAACAACAACAACAGCAGGTCCACCATAGCTATGGCTTCCCCCCTTCTTCCACCTCTCACAAGCCTAGGCTATGGCGGACAACTGAGGGCTCTGCCCCTCTCTGTGCAAAGGACAACACAAAGCAGCTATGGCGCTGCACTCCTGTCCAAAGGACAACCCAAAGCAGCTATGCCACTGCTGACTAAGCCGCCATGCCTGACTCTGCCTCGAGCTTCCTTGGTGCGGCACAACCCCAACTGGGGCCTTCCAGATGCCGCGCCCAACATGTTGATGAAGATGGTGTCCACCATAGCCAGGTAGGTACCTCGCCACTCTCCTCCTTCACCCCCTTCTTCCTCCTCCCCAGGCTGGGCTGCTCGCCATAGCCAGGTTGAGCGCCCAGCTGCCCTTCACCTCCAGGCAGCGCTGTACAAGTCCAGCACTTGGCTCAGCAGCATGTCGCCAATCCTTGCATACCGCAAATGAGGAGGAGCTACTTGCTCCTCCGGAAGATATAGCGGCCTACTGGCCTCTTGGGCGGTGACTACCTAGGCCGAGAAGCCTCCCAGCAACTGGTACCTCCTCCCTTTTGGAGGGAAACATCATTGCAGCCTCTGCTATCGTCCGGGCAGGCCCTAGACTCAGGCTACTTGGACTGGTACCGGCCTACCTCTATCGTACCGCTACTGGGCCTCTAAAAATGCCAACTTTTTGTCTTCTTCTGCTCGGCCTCCAGTMCCCGACACTCCTACCACTACTTGAGTGGTACCGGCCTACCTGCTACTTGAGTGTTTTTCCCCGCTGCTCTAAGTGTCGCGGGCCTACCCCAGCTACTTGAGTGTTTTCCCCGCTGCAACCCTCAAAGTCACGGCCACAGGTAAGTACCGGCCCTGCGGGGCCTTTCAACCAACAAGTACCCTTGCGGGTCACACACACACTCAGCCAGGCATGCAAACCAGCAGGCACTCACACACACACAGACATGGAAACCACAGCAGAATTCGGGAATCTCAGCAAGGCATTCATTCCAACGGCAAATCCCAGAAATCAAAAGTGTTCTCAGTCTGTGTTTTTGGCGGGTCGTTACACTACCCCCCTCTCAAGAGCGAGGTCCCTTCGAGCGAGTAACTCATTCAGAGTCGGCACAAAATGCATCGTAGGCGTAGATCAGAAAGAGAGATTTAGTAAGATCGTGAGGAGTGAGTTTTGCAGAAAACTTAGCAGTCTGTCCATCAGCGATCTGTCGTTCATAAGCGTTAACAGCACGTGGAGCATTCTTTAGAAGCTCTTTTCGGCCGATCCAGAAAAAACTCGTTCAACGGGTGATAGAGGAAGTGAACCTTGAACTGTCTGTTCCTCCCTCTTCCTGCATGGGAAACAGTTCTGTCTATCTCATGGCCGTCGTCGATAGGACGAGGTATCATAGGATCTCGGAAAGGAAAAGTCTCGTCATCGATGTGTGGAAACAGTTTGGATGCGTGAAAGACCAGATATGTGCACAGATGCAGAGGCACGTCAATCACATACGAAGGACCAAAATCATCCCCAATCACCTTTAGAACCTGCCAAGGGCCATAGTACAATGGAAGAAGCTTTCGTAATACGCCCTCTTCGTCAGAAAACTCATACATTTTGACGCAGACATAACTCCCTACTTTGAAGTTCCCTTCTTTGCGCGACTTGTTAGCATGTTTGATCATAGCATGCTGACGCTTGTTCATTGCTGCGATAGCAGCTTTGAGTAGGCGTGCATACTTGGCATTGTAGCCAGGCATGCCAGGCGTCGGACCAGGGGACCATTCGGGGAACAAATAGGAGAGAGGATTGCGCAGCTGCCAACCATATTGCAGCTGATCCGGTGTCACGCCAGTTGCAGAGTGAATGGAGTTGTTGTACAAGCCCTTCACTTTGTGTAACTCCTTGTCCCACGTGTTCTGATCTGGAACAATTAACGTGCACAGTAATTTAATGACAGTCTGGTTGATTTCCTCAGCCAATCCATTGGCTTCGGGGTGTCGACCAGAAGTCTTGTTGAGTTTAATGTCGTAGATTTGCGAAGTGAAGTCCTTCCAATCAGCACTAATGAACCTGGTGTCCCGATCACTCACAAAAGTTTTCGGGGGTCCATACTGCAGAATGTACTGCTGGTGAAATTCTTCGATCACAAGCTCAGTTGGTCCATGAGGACGTAGAGGAATCAAATTCATAAATTCGGAAAAACGATCCACAATGACCATGACTTGTGAATGTCCTTCCTCGCTCACCTTCCCCATGTCCATGAAATCGATAGAGACCGACTCACCGGGCCCATCAGGGATTGGGAGGGGTTTCAGCAGGCCATAAGGCTTATGCCTATGGACCTTGGCTCCTTGACAGACTTGACATTCAGCAATAAATTTCTGAGAAGCTCCCTTCATTCCCGACCAATCAAACTGTTGCAAAAGACTTCCAGAAGTCTTCTCAAAGCCGAAGTATCCACTCCGACCATGTGCCAAATCCAAGAAATGAGTCGGAAGAGGCGCATGGTTGGGTACACACAAACGATCAAACTTCCCATACCGGCGGAATACAAGACCCTCACACTCGTGAAAATCAGGCTGACTACTCGGGTCAGCCTTGAGCTGCTCAGTGATGGGACTAAGGTCCGGATCCTTACAGTGTGTTCGACCAGATCCTCCTTCAGTTTCGTTCGAAGGTCACATGAGCCCATGGTAAGTCAAAAACTAAGGATGGCGCAACAAAGCATCAGCAACACGGTTATAACAGCCTTTCTTGTGGTTCAGTTCAAAATTGTAAACATCAATGTCATGCAACCAGTGGGTCAATGTCGAAGAGAGATCAGTTTGTGTTTTAATCCACTGCAAGGTCTGATGATCTGAGTAGACCTTGAAATGGCGACCCAAGAGGTAGTGCTTCCAATGTGTGAGCGCTCCTCGCAAGGCATAGAGCTCACGCATATATGTGGAGGTAGCTACCTTGTGGCTGGGCATGCGTTTGCTGTAATACTCGAGCGGACTCAGGCCATCGCCATCATCTTGTTGCAGCACTGCACCAATCCCATACTGGCTCGCGTCCGTAGTAACTACGAACGTGAGGTTGGGATCCACAATGCGGAGCACAGGGTGACTTACCAAAGCCTTTTTCAAGGCTTGGAACGCAGTCTCGCATTTCTCACACCACGCAAAGGCAACATTTTTGCTTGTTAGTCTCGAGAGTGGGTGAGCAATGACAGAAAATTTGGGTACAAACTTCCTATAATACGAAGCCAAACCAAGGAAAGAATGCAATTTGCGCACGTTCGCCGGTTGAGGCCACTTTCGTATGACCTCAACCTTGGTTGCCTCCGGCTCAAGGCCGTTTGCAGACAATCAGTGCCCGAGATAAATGACGTTGTCCCTCCCAAACTCAGATTTCTCTAAGTTGAGGTGCAATTATGCCTCCTTGAGGACCTGCAAAACCTCCTCAAGGTGCTTGACGTGCTCTTCCATGGACTTGCTGAAAATCAGGATGTCATAAAGGTAAACAACAACAAACCTATTAAGCTGATGGCGGAGGACCTTGTCCATGAGGCACTGAAACGTGGCTGGTGCATTCGTAAGACCGA